TTCTTCCCATTGCTCCACTTGGTACTGTGCAACTATGTTCTTGATAGGCTAGTTGGTGGTTTTAGTCACCTGTTTTCTTTCCCTTGATTTAATTTTTGTGATGCTTCCAATTTAAATCAAAAAAGGATTTAATAACTTGCACTAAACTTCAGCTTCTAAAAGTATAAAAATTTACTAGAAAGATTCTTCCTTTACACAATAATGATAACTATCTAAGGTGATAAAAAAACGCCTAAGAGTTTGTTTTTAGTCTGTATAGACAGCGTAGAGATAGTCAATAACCTCATTTCAGACATATGAGAAGGTCTAGTCATTGTAATGAGAGAAATAAAGGAACAATGGAAAGAAGAAATTATTAAGAGATGACAAGATGGACTTTTAACTAATCCACTCACAACAGCTGTACATCACAATAAAGAAAACTTTATTATAAACAACAAGAGGTCATTGCAAAAAAAAAGATTCAAATTTATAAGCAAAATTAAAGATACAATAAAAGCAAGGGAGCACAGACAAACCGATAATTCACATTTGAAGCCTCCAACTTTGTGGGGAATTTTAAGCTTCATTTGCAGAACATGGCTTTAACACATTAACCTTCCAATTCCTTTTTACCTTAAAAGTTTATGATTGCCAAAATAGAAAAAAAATTAAAATATTTAAATAAATTAATACTGATTTATTTTTACTTCCAACTTGACAATGCTTAAGACTTATGCCCTATTATATAACTTTGAAGTATAGTAAGCCCTTTCTTGGTGAGTTTTAGATTAAGCTATGTTTCACAAGTGAAATTCTTCCCAGGAATAGCACCTCAATGTAAATTATAAAGTTCAGGCATAAAGAAGTAAAAAATCAACATCTAAGAGGTTTAGAATAAATTCACGAGCATTTAAAATTATTGCCTCAAATTATTTCTGAATGGTGGTGGCACTGGATGAGAAAACTAGATAGGATCATGTTTTAACTGAATGCGTAACTCATACTTGATTTCATCATTTGTTATTAGAACATTATTATTTAAGAAACTCTTTACATACTGGTCCTTCCACAAGAGATGCAAGCACTTCATCCCACAGCTTCTGGTTCTGACAGTCTTCCCTGATTAGGTGCTGCTGTTGAGGGGTGAGTTGGAAAGCCTCAACTGCTTCTGCTGGATCGGATGCTTTCAATGCTTTAGAGGCACTTGGACACTCATCTAAGTTTATTTAAAAAAAAAAAAGTCAGCAGACTTTCATAGTTCTGCTTAGAAACACTGTAACCAAAGACTTAACCAGTATTGTTTGGCAGGACGATACCCACAAAGAGCAGCATCTAACTTCTGGAGTTTAGGATAATATATTTGCTGCTGTTATGGCTCTGACACTTAAAATACACTAGACTCACCCATGTCTAAACAAAAAACATCTTTGCTTTTAATTCCTCACCAATCTCAATTTAGTCTCTTAATATTTCTCATTATTAGGATATATACTTTGAAATAATCACCTACCATCTGAAGTTGGCCTTTTTGTGGCTTCACTGGTCTGCTTCTTTGACTGTCCCTTAGTCTTTTTCCCTTCCTTATCTGAAGGGTAACCTGCTGGATACTGATGAAGGGGAGAAAAAGAACAAATGAGATTTAGGCTTTATAGAGAACAAAAGGGTCTAAATTCTGGTGAGAAATTTTAAAAGGGTGGGGAAGTCTGAACTTTCTCCAATCTGAAAGAATTTACATAAAGGAAATACTTATTTAAAGAAAAAAATTCACATAGTTTTGACTACTAAAACACCCTATTTTTTAATACAATGATCTTAGTTTCAGATCTAAGAGAGGAAGGAAATCTTCATGGGTTTTTCTAGGTAGCTTACAACATTTAAGGAAAGGAGACTTTAAGATATGAAGATAAGTGAGACTCAACCATGGAGCACAGTGGATGATAATCATAGAGCTAGGCTTATGCAAACTATGGAGTTAATCTAAAACTAAAAAGGGCCAAATTTCTCATCTTCCAAAATTGGGGGGTGGGAGGTGAAGGGTGCTTTCAGAAGACTATATTTTCTACACCTAACGGTTAGACTTTAAGGGACCCATTCCACATGTTTTTCTTTGTTTTGTTTTGAATATGGAATAATTCATGAATTTGCATGTCATCCTTACATAGGAGCCATGCTAATACCCTCTGTATCATTCCAATTTTAGTATATGTCCTGCTGAAGTAAGCACCACCCTTATGTTTTAATAGTTATGTTTTGTAGGGAAGGGATGTTTTATGATAATGCTCATGTTTAAAGCTCAATGTGTCTGTGGCCTCATCAGTGCTATTATTAACTTATCATGGTACAGGGGCTTACATGCTTCTCGCAGTTTCAAATCTCACCTATCTAGAACAATGCTTTGAACACTGGGATCTGAAAAATCTTTTGGAAATAGATTAGGTAAAGCTTTTTTTTTTAAATTTTGTCACAAAAAAGAATTATTTGGTAACTCTTTTGACAGCTGATGAATCTGATTTAAACAATCAATTCTATGAGTTTAAAAAGAGAACAGAACAGAACACTTGCACCAGAAGACACACCCTCACCTTCTTGGGTGGTCAGACACCTGCCCATAGTTCAGCCCCTACACATGCAGTATAGGCACAGTGTAGGGGAAATGACAAAAGCTGGCAGGCTTTGTGGTAAGCACAATAATGGGGAATGGTGGGGGATAAACTCAAACCATGCTCTGAAACCAGTGTTAGGGACACTGATCTAGGATATACAGGCAGTGAAGGGGAAATGCAGCCATACAATCCAGTATGTACACAAAACCAATAAAGTTTTTTTTTTAATGGGTTAACATCTGAGCATGGGCATGGGTGGGGGGGGAGGGAAGGCAAAGCACTAAAAGTGGTGACAGGGCAAGGAATCAGCTTTGCAGAGGAAAAGTGAAAAGGGTATAAAGCAGACCACTCTTCTGAGCCACCTCCCACCTGTCCCCTACCAGAAACATACTCCTGTGCCCTCTAGGATAGAGGTCTCTTCTCAAGACCGTCTACCCTAAATTTTATGAGTCCCTATCCCTCATACTTCAAGTCATTTCCAAATTGAGTTGGTGATATTTTACTTTTCCTTGGTAAGTTCAGCTTTTCCCAAGCTCAATGCTTGGTCCGAGTGCAGTGTAACACCTAGGATGACACCTTCTTACTTGTTTTCCTCCTGTTTACTTGCATGATCTAATTCCTCACTTCTTAAGAGTCCATCGATCCAATATCTATGAGTTTTAGCCTGTGTTAGGGCATGCAGATAGTACAGAGGTGTCTATTTTTATGAACACACAAGTAGACTAGACAAATGTAATCTAACCTGTAAACGTAGACATAATCTCCTGGATCGCTCTATTCCTTCTGAGGTCCAAGGAGCAGGTTCAACATCATCTCTTCTTAAAAGATAGCGCCAAACCAAGAACCCATGGCTAGATGAAATCTCTGGCCAGTATTTCACCACCTACACCACAATATTTCAGTACTAGATTGAGATTTAAAATTTAGACTTATTCATCATGTCATCATATTAGTGGTTTAAGTAAACTTGCCATAATTAAATACAACTTCAGAAGACATTTGCTTTGCTGTAAGAATAGTAAATAAGTCAAGAATATTCACTAGAATATTGTTTTGTTCTTATTTCCTATTAAGATAGGTTCCATAAGGAACACTGCTATAAACTTAATATGTGAATAAAATAAAATTATGCTAACAGAATTTTGTGAAATAGGTAGATTAAAATGGTGGCAGCTGATGCCCTTATTTTTAAGAAAAGGATACAAATCTATTTTTAACGTGTTGTGCTTTGAAATCTACCACAATCATTAAAATTAAAAGCATTCTGAAAAGATGTAAGAATCAAGATCTGTAACAGCCAAATTATTTAAATGGTTTTCTCACAGAGAATGTATGCTTATTGAAAAAAATCTTGGGGCTTGGGATATAGCTCACTGGTAGAGTGCTTGCCAAACCATTGGGTTCAATCCCACGCACTGCAAACAAACAAAAAAATAAAATACCAAGTCTTAACCCAAAATATAATTCTACCCTTAACAGTCTCAAATAAACCCTTGTTTCAAAAGTTTTGAAGTTGAGTTCACTTCATGTATCTGTTACATTTATAGGAAAAGTAGAAATGCCAAATATATGGTCTATTCTTTCCTCTAGCCCACCCACAGTAGTTCCCTATGGCAGCCCTGCCTTGAAAGCCCAGGGAAAATGACTAACAAGATGTCATGCCAGATAGAGCACCTTATAAATGCCATCATATCTGTTGCCTTCTTCAGGAGCATATTTGCTGATCTTCCTCCCTTTAAAACTGCGTATCACTCTGACTGGCTTACCAGCTCTCCAATTCCGAGACTCTGCTCCAATTTTATCATCCAATGGAGCATCACAGTTTAGAGCCAATGCCCTAAAAAAATAAAATAAAGTCTTTATACCAAGTAATCTTTCTGCAAGTATATAATCGAGTCATTGGCTCAATTAAAAGGTGAATTATGCCTTACCTGATGGTTAAGATTCTATGATTCTTTCCACATTATTCCAGATAATAGGATTATGCTTTCCCCCACCAGCAGAGAAGACAAATCAGTTTTCTGATGTTACCCCCAAGCCAGGGGATTGGTTCTCAGATAGCCTGTAGGGTTCTTCTGAAAGTAATAACATCTGTGCCACGTATAATAGAAAACAACTAGAAATACATGGAATTTGCTTTAAATAACATTTGTTGAGGGAAGGGAAAACGTTCGAAAACTAAAGCAAGTGATTGTTGTTAATAGTTATTTTTGAAAAGGGAGTGAGGTAAATTGCTGGAATAATGTAGAAAGAAATCTAGAAAAATAAACTTGTCAGCAAGTTACAAGTGAACTTCCTAGGCCTACTTTCCATTCCAGACAGTAGAAATTCTGAAAAGTTTAAAATGTATTAACAACTGCAATATGAGAATATTTTTAAAGGTCTCCACAAAAAGATAAATTTAAGTAAGAATGAAGCATCAAAATGCCTGTGCCAAATCATGATAATAAAAATTTTTGACTAATTGAGATGGCTACAATTTACTGATGACAAAGAAAAGGAGTACTGAGTTGGAAAAAACACCTGACATCTGAAAGCATCTTTATACACTCAGGAGTAATAAATCAGTCAGCTAATTAGATGTTACAAGATTTTCTTTCTTGGGAGAAGCTAGTCCTACTGAAAATACTACATTTAAAACTAGTATTTTCTTCTAAGATGCCTACTTCCTAACTTAAGTGAAGAAAACATACTGAGGAATGGTTGTAAAAAAATACATATATAGCCAACTAGTGAAATCAGATATAATACTATGTACTTTTTTCAAGGTGTAGTTTTTTAATTAAAGCTCTAATTAAAATACACCCTAAGACTATGACTATTCTATTGAAAAGGAATTTCTTGACCATACTTTCCTTTTTAAAGTAAATAAAATTAAAAGTGTTTTGTTTTTTAAAATAACTTATACCTATAAATCAAAGTGTAGAGCTTACTAAGTTATCTTTTTTAACTAAAGGGAAGATCATTTAAAACTGGGAGGTAGAAGAAAATATAGCTACTAATTCTAGGGCTAATATTACATCTTACATGGAATACCTATAAATAAATACAAATTCATCTTAATGCGCTAGGATAAGTATTACCTTCATGTCACCAAGTGACGTTTTAAAGCTCACAGGAACCTTCAGTTATAATTACTGCCACCACTAACTAGCATATCAACTCACTTCTGGCCTCAGATAAGTACATAGGCTATTCAAGAATGTGAAGAGTCCAGAAGGATGAAACAAGGCTAAACAGCAGCAAAGCTTTTCCACTACTCTTCTCTATAGCTCAGCCAATCAGTTGCCTCTAACTGCCCTGATAAAGGATGGCCAGGCTGCCTTGCAGCTCTCTTCAGTTTCTTAAAAGTAGAACAGTTGTGAAGAAATAGGAATAAACTTCTCAGAAACAAAAAGATGTCAAACTTTCCCTTGGCAGAGAGGCAAAAACAAATTGCAGCATACACTCATTGGGAAAGAATATACTAATCAGAGCTAATGGTCTTTCACCTCAGTTTTCATGTACTAAGGTCCTATAGGCCTTAGAATCGTAAGGCATATTTATAGCTTAATGTATAAAAGTAACCAACTGGACGTTAAGGTCTATATGACAAATAAACCTTAAACTGTTTTCAGTTAATATTTCATTTTGATAACCCTCTTTTCGACATCAAAGATTTTTACTGGTTGTCGATTTTTTTCTAAGGAGATTATAACAGTACTTATTAGATTGTCCAAAACGTAAAAGAAATCTAACATTTATATTACAGGTGTGGGTAATTACCAAAGAACTTTCATTCAAACATAACAGCAAAATGGTCTATTATTATTAACAGGAAAATAATTTCCAGATATGACATCTTAAAAAGGCTTTTACAAATTTAAGATATATTTTCATTGAGAAAAATGCACCAGACTTTGTCTAAACTCTTTTAAGATCATTGCTCCTAAAGAGCTGCCTTCTTGACAGAAAAAGAATACCTAGGGACTAGACTTCTGCCTCATGAATGTTTTCACCAGCAAATCTGACCTGTCTCCTCTGCTGGTTCAGTAAAATAATCCTACTGTCAGAAATAATATGCAAGCCATAAAAACAGAGATACTAAGTTAGTATGTAATAAAACCTTGAAAGCATACTACTTAAAAACCAAGTGATTTACAGTCAAATTGAAAAATACTGACTTCTCAATTAATGCATAATATATTTTTATTAAGACACAAAAAGTTAGGAACCAGTGGCTCATGCCTATAATCCTAGTTACTTGGGAGGCTGAAATTGGGACAATTGCGGCTTGAGGCCAGCCCAGGCAAATAGTTTGCAAGATCCCATCTCAAAAATAACCAGAGCAAAACGGACTTGGGCATGGCTCAAGCAGTAGAGTGCCTGCTTTGCAAGTGCCCTGACTTCAAACCCCAGTCCCACCAGGAAAAAAACAAACAAACAAACAAACATAAAAAACTTTATATGAAATAATCACAAAACTTTTAGTTTGACAAGTTATAATGTGATCTTTGCTATCTGATAGTTTGATTTACTTATCTATTACTAATCTTGACATTAGCATGCATTCACAAGATAAAATATTTTGAATTTATTAAATTTTATGTTCCGTGGGAGCTGGGATGTCATTACTATTTTTTATACAATAAAGATCAACACAAGGTATTATAATGCCTTAAGAAGATTTAATTCAAAAACACCACTTTGTAACTAAACAAACATTTCCTATTATAACACTTAAAAGATATCTTATTAATAGAAACCCTAAAAGTACCTTGAGTGCAGATCTGGTTAAGTTACCTGATAGTTCACCATGCACATGTGGCTCCCAATCATAACCCTATTTCACGTTATTCAGTCTCTCCTAAAGTAAGTCTGTCACCTTAAGAGAGAAATCTGGGTTGCATAGATCACTTTAGTTTTGACTTATGGGGTAGCAAACTATATTCCCTCAATTAAGTCCTCAATTATACTTAAATTGTATGGTTCCCTTCCTTCAAAGATATCAAATGCATAGCATATGCATTAAGTAAGGCCGGGAATTGTGCCACTTCAAAATTAACCGTATGGAGAAATAAGTTAGGATACTTACAAGTATATAATCAGGCAATGGAACTTTAATTTTAGATCTTTAACTCGTAATTTAAATTTCTGCCCTGCAGCTTAAATCACAAATTGTAATCCTAGAATTAAATTGCTATGCAACATCCAAATTCTGAATTCTTTACAATAGTACCTGTTCATGTTTGTAAGTGTTTGATCAGCTGATGGCGCACCAATTCTTTTATTACCAGCGAGATTTTTACCACCACTTCCCGTGTATGTGAATTCATCACCACGATCCTATAGGACAAGATTTTTACAATAAGAAACCTAAACCTGAGTATAGGCCCCATCTTAGAGTCAGGAGATTTGGTTAGGATACTATGAATTGGCATGTTCATTTGTGATATTTACCAAATTAATGCAATATTCAATTACAATTATGTAAGTATACTATCACAAGTTATATTACTTGATCCAAAGCTTGGTGGGTGAAACACCGTGGTAAAATCCCTCCGAACAAGGAATATACACTTGAAGAATGAAAGACTAGAATGAAAAACCAGGTCCTCTTGGGGGGCTGGTTTTAGTGGGATAGGGAAGGGTAAATGGAGAGGGGGAAGGAGGGGAATAAGGTCCATGTACTTTATATACTTGTATGAAAATAAAAAAAAAGAAAATTGTTGAGATTATTTTAAGTAGGGGAGAAGGGAGAATTAAGGAGGGAATGAATCTAACCAAGGTACACTGTAAACAGTATGGAAATGTGACAATGAAAGCCCCCTGAAAAACTAATATATGCTAATAAGATGTTAAAAATAAAGTAAAAATATGTATGATAAAGAAATACACAAAGAACCTGAATATTTCCCATTTTCAATTTCCTCTACTATGTTAAAATAAACACAATGCCAAATTTGTCTACCCTCTGGATAGGCAAATGTAAGATGGTAAGCTTCTCTATTTCTTTTTCTAAAAACTTACCACAATTGTGCTCTCCATAGTTACTGTGTTGTAACATTTCATGAAAGCAAGTAAATTAAACAGACTACGAGAAAATACCTGCCAACTACATATCTGATAAATAGCAAAAAACCAAATATAACCCAGTTAGAAAAATCAGCAAAAAACCTGAGAAGCTACACCAACAAATAGGCCACAGAAATGGCAAATAAATGAGTAATGTCCAATGTCATTAGCCACTGAGGAAATGAAAAAGTAAAACAGGCGATATCATTACACACCTATCATAGCTAAAATTACAAAGTAATAGCAATAGCAAATGCTGGTAAGATGCACAGAAAAACTGAATTACTTGTATATTACTGTTAGAAATATAAAATGGTACAATCCAAATAACCATTTGGCAATCGCTAGAAAACTAAACATATCATGGTGGCACCTGCCTGTAATACAAGCACTCAGAAGGTAGAAGAAGCAGGAGAATGGAGAATTTAAGATCAGCCTGGGCAACACAGCAATACTGTCTCAAAAAAAACAAAAACAAAAACAAAAATAAATGCAACAACCATCTGACCCACTACACTTCTTGACATTTTTCTCAGAGAAATGAAGACATGTTTACAAAAATACTGTACACAAATGTTTACTGCAGCTTTACCCATAATAGCTAAAAAACAATCCAGATATTCTTCAACAGATGAATGGTTAAACAAACTGTGCTTCACCCAAACCACAGACTAGTACTCAGCAATGAACAGGAATGAGTTATTGATACATGACACAATCTTCAGAGAATCACACTGAGTGAAAATAGTCAATACTAAAGGTTACAACTACATGATTCTATTTATCAAAATTCATGAAAAGACAAATTGTACAGACAGACAAGAGGTTAATGGTTATCAGACACTGGGGGCACAGTATGATGGGTGTAGCCATGGGAGGACTACATGACAATAGAAATAGTGACATCAGAAACGTTCAGCAGTTTGACCATGTCAATACTGTGGCTGTGATACTGTATAGTTTTGCAAAATGTCACTACTGGAAAAAATTGGGTAGAGGGCACAGAATGCCTTTTATTTTTAATACTACAAATATTGTGAATGTACAACTATAAGTTCAAAATCAGTTTAATTTCTTTAAAAAATAATGTATCACAGAGAATGTTCTTTTAACAGTTAGTTAGAAAATATACATACAAGGCAAATTAGTAGATGTAAAGATTAGATACTCCCAAATGTTTTCCTCTACAACTTGCATAGAACCAATGACTAACATAAAATCTATGCTAGACGGTGTATCCTAGACAAAGCTTGTATTTTACAGAAGAGAAAAACGGGTTCTAAAACACAAGGTCATATCACTTACTACTTCATCTGCAAATCCACCAGCCAGGACAAGGGAATATGCCCCGTCATTACTGCGACCATGAATTCCACCAACATGGGGCCTATGAACACCTGCTTCGCTAACCTATAAAATAAGTAAAAAGTTTCACAGTACCTATATATTACATACACAAAAAGCGTTTGCAGATATTAAACCCTCCCAAACCCAAGAATTGTGTCTCACCAAGAGTTTGAATTTTTGCTCTTAGTTTTCCCCAAATAAATCCTAAAGGTACAGACAGAGCTAACAACCTAAAACTGAGTAGGCCAAGAATTCTCAGATTAACAATAATTATTAAACAAGCATCAACCAAAAGATAAATTATCAGAGGTCCAGATTTTTTCTCCCTTCTTATTTGTCTTTGTTTATGGCTGATTTCCATTCAGTTTGTCAAGTCAAACACACAGCAATCATAATTTTAGCCTCATTCTTCTGCAATATTCCTCTAAGCCATTTGGTTACAAGGACTACTGATTCTATCTCCTAAATCTTTCAAATTCATTTTTTTCTACTTCTGCTTGATCTTGTTTGAGACATGAACACTTACAAATAGACTTGTTTGCCCTGCTTCTAACCCTCTTTCAAACCCATTTTATGTAACAGAATGATACTTTTAAGAGTAATTCTGTGTTTGCAAGGTATGGTGGTTCAGGCCTATAATCCTAGTTACTTGGGAGAACTGAAGTTCGAAGTAAGCTGGGAGAAAAAGTTGGTGAGACTCCAATCTCAACCAATTGGAAAAAAAAAAAACCAAAAAGCTGGTGTGGTGGTAAATGCCTATTATCCCAGCTACAAGGAAAGTGTAAACAGGAGGATTGTGGTCCAGATTGACCCTAGCATAAAAACATGAGACCCTATTTCCAAAATAAGTAAAGCAAAAATGGGGTGGGGAGATGGCTGGTAGAGTGCCCACCTAGTAAGCACAAGCCCTGAGTTCAAACCAAAGTATTGAAAGGAAAAATAAAAAGAAAGGAATAATTGTGTTTGACTTTCAACTGCTTTAAAAAAAATGCTAAATGGTACCATAGTAACAAGGCCAAATTACCTGTCTCAATTTGGGTCCTATCTATTTTCCAAGCTTTGTCTCCAGCTCCTCTTTCATGGAGCCTCTGTGCTTGAGCCAAAACAACTCAATGTCACACGAACATGTTATCCATTTCTAGTTTGCTAGTCCACCTTCAGGGGCCTAATGCTTTTCCTCGTCTTCAATTGTGCCTCACTGAAACAAATGTTCCTTCTTTGTGTACTTCAAACTCCCTCAGAAAGATATTATAATTCAGTTTGCCACATAATTGTTACAGTAAAAGAAGGTGAAATTCAAACTTATACAGTGACGTTGGGAGTAGAAGGCACTTTAGAAGTCAACAAGAAACCGGAAGAAAAACAGAACCCAGAAAAGACTAGGCCTTGAAAATACGAGCAACAGACGTGATCACCTGATTTCCTCACCTCACCAACCCTAGTAAAAATAAATCTTATCTTTCATCTCTTTTCCATTTCTTAAGTGGTAAACTCATCCTATAAGCTGCTCAGGTTAACAACCTCACAGTCATTTTAGTCCACATTGAAGGGGTTTTTAAAGTCTCGGAACGAGGCAATAAGCATGCAAAAGTATTCAGTAAATGAAAATATTTGCAGTATTTTATTATACATTTAGATCCAAGGTCATAGAAATGTAAACGTTGAATACCAATTCAGCCAAAATATGACACAACTATTGCAAAGATGAGAGGACATAAAGTACTAAATGTTCATATTCCATAGAAGGAAGTTAAAAAAAGTAAAGTATTAGCCA